GCAAAACTCCTTGGCTCAGTTATATTGTAGCTTTTAATAAACTGGAGTGATTACTTCAGTGAAAGCAATGTGGAAGATGAGACAAATCTTATTTCTCTTTGTGGGTTTCTCATCAGAGCTCTCAGAGCTGTACCCTTGACTCTCCACCTTGACACTGTCCATCTGCAGCTGTGGCTTTTCAGAAAATGCTGATTTTTTTTGCTAAATCAAAAATTTAGGTATACAGACTCAGTTTTCTGCTCTCTCCTCTCAAGGGAGAAAGGAGTGGGCAGGAAGGATAGGCCATCAGCCCCCAACAGCTCTGCTCCGTGGCCTTATGCAGGGTGGGGAGAGCATGCCTTGTCCCAGGCATCACCATGAAGGTGGCTGTGCAAAATGATGTCAAACTGGGAGAGGAGGCAGAGAGGGAGATTAAGTTGCTTTGTGGGAAGAGATGGGCAGCCAAGGGGCAGCAGGTAGCAAGAGTCTGTAACCAGAGACACCAAGAGTGAAATGCTGGTACCAAGAGTGAATGGGCTTGTCCGATGGGATGGAAGGGGGCAGGGAACCACAAGCTGAGCGTTTGAACAGGCCTAGGTATAACACGTATTTAGCACTGGATTAGGTCCAAGTCTATTATGAATTGCTTCATGAGGGTGCATCAGGATGAAAAAGGCAGCTGTTTGCAGCCAGGATATTGTAGCAATGCTTTTGAAAATGTGCTTTGATACTATACTCTGTAACTGTTTTGTAGTTGGCCGTATTAACATGTTTCTGAAAGGTGCAGCACATGGAAACTTTTTATAGCACTTATTTGAAAAACTGTAACCTTTTCCCTAGCTGAGAAGGGGATGTGATGACTGCTTGGATGAAGGCACTGTGCACATCTACATATGTTGTAAGGGGTGGAAAAGCCTAGAGAGCAGAGGAGTGAGAGACCAGGGCTCAGCTTGTGTGCTGGGCTTGGGAAGGGAGGAGCGAATCATCCTAGCCAGGTGATTCTGGATGATAAGAGGGTGCCTGAAGGAACCAGCATCATTTTAGAGATCTCTAGCTGTGCTGCCTCTGGCACCACCATCATTTTGCTAAACCCTCAGAATCTGTTATGGGCTGTGCCGAGGGTAGCTCACAGTGTGGAGCCAGAGTTTGTTTGAGGACATTGATTTCATTACCTATGTCCTTCCCGGGCAGGTTAGATCCCATAGGGAGCCCTCCTGCCTGCTAGCCAGCAGCCATGGCGAGACCCAGCCCAGATACAGCAGCTTAGAGATACTTTTCCACCTTGTCCCACACACATTCATCACGTGTGTGTCTGAGGGTGGGAAATGGTACTATCTGGCAGCCACTTGGTATCTCGTCTTGCCCTCGCCACAGAGACATGTGCTGGTGTCTTCTGGTGGGGTCCTGGGTTTGGTTTTAAAAACATGCACTGCTCTCAGTGAGCACCATATGAGACAGAGCAAGGTGTGAGTGGTGTGCTCACTGCTGTGGCAGAAGGTGGCAGCTGTGGTTCTCATGTCTTGGGGAGCTGTTTCCATTGTCTGCCCTAGGAGAGTATTTTTATCTGTGGTAAACAGCCCTAATTTCAGTGCTGTGTGATCTTCGATACAACCTGGAGGCCAAGAGGGCCATGATCCAGAGACTATGATCTTGGTTTTGATTCAAATGCCCATGGGAACTTGTTTTATAAAGCATGTTTGATGTGCTTTGAATAACTTCTGGTGCTGTGGGGAGATTTTATTAAATCTAAGTAGGTTTAGACTCTCTGGTTGCTGAATACCTTGTGCTCAAATATTTGCTTTGCTCCTGTCCAGTGAGAAGTGATGAAACTTGGATGTCTGAGGCAAGGCTGCCAGCTTCTTGCCAAATGGGGCGATAGAAAACAGTTCTCAGAAGTAGTGCTAATTTAAAATTCAGTGTCAGCAAGAAATTCTGTGTCAAACGGACTAGTCGAATAAACATATTTCCAGGCAGAAGAGCTGTGCCTATAGAAAAGAGTGTGACGTCAGGAATTTAAATGATAGTTTTCATAAGGACAAGGAGTTGTGTTTTCAACTCAGTGTTTTTGATGTTTGGCCAATACATTTCTACTGGAAATCAGAATTTTCTGTGGAAAATAGTAAGAACAAAACTAATGGTAGTATTGTTCCCATTTTTCATTTGAAAATAGGGATATGCTTTGAATTTCTTACAACTTGCCTCCATTTCTGAGCCCTTGTTATACAATGGTGTTATATTTGTAATTTTTTTCACTAGCATTTAATCATTAAATCTCTCTTTAAACCACCAGATCCTGAGCTTTGCTGTACCCTCCCTCTATACCTTCTGACTCCTTCCCTAGGATGGGTTTTACAGCAAATTTCAGTATAAGATTTTTCTTTGTTCTGGCAATCTTGCTGAGAAACTCAAAATTCAGAGCTGCAGTCAGCCTTCTCTGTAAGAAACAATAGTTACTAGGACTTGGTCTGACTTCTTGGACATTGCTTCAGTTCTTGTGGCAAACAAGCTTTTATCATTAGCTTTTCCTTTGTGGCAGGCAAGAACAGAGGCAGCAAGGGACGTCACAGATGCAGGCTGATGCTGAGCCTACCTCTCATCAGCTAGAGCGTTTGAATGACCATGACCCACCAGTGAAAAGTCAGAAAAGAGCATTTATGCATTCTTTGCTCAAAAGATGTTCAGGTGTTAATACTCTGACTCAAAGACAGATTTAACAAAAAAGAAGGAGTTTCCCTGGGAACAAGACCTTCTATAACCTCGACAGAGGCAGACTGAGGTCTCTCATGCACAGTTTTGCCTCTACACTTTCTGTAGAAATATAAGTCTGTGTGACCTGGACAGTTATCAGGGTCTTACCAATGTAACAATGTCTTTACAGTTTTTTGAGGAGCATTTTATGCCACAAAGGATCCTTAGGAGTGTACCAAGGTGACACAGGCCAGAACCTAGCCCAGTGAGATGAAAACTATGTGAATATTAGACTTTTCATTCTCAGGAGTTCATTCCCATGTGGTCCTGTAACTTCACCCTTTGTTTTCCCTTTTCTTTCCTAGTAAGGATAAGTTGCAAACTAAGCTCAAGATTGTAGTTACTTTATTTTCATCAGCCCAGCTAAAGCAAATGCTCACAGATAGAAACATGCAGTGTAAATTGAAGGCCATGGACATTTTTTTTTTTATTACACAGCAGTTGGCTGCATAGGCAGCAAGGTTGTACTGTGTTCAGCTAGAAGTGATCTGGTTTTACATTTTCTGGACCTCTGTGGACCCCTCTCTCTGTTCAGAAAGTTGATAGCTTATGTACTGTATTACTTTTCATATTTTTATTCCAGTTGCAGAAAGCTTCCATTAAAAGATTATTTGCTCATGAGGCTAGTTTTCCTTTCATCTTGAGTATTTTCCTATGCATCCTAAAATCAATAATGCTTAGATAAAAAACTGGAACAACAGATGTTTTTTAAAGCATGTGAACAAGATCTGAAAACAACATATTGAATATGTTTTACAGTGAGCTGATTTTGGATCTATATCTTCTATTCTCCTCTATTCCCAGCATGAACCTGCAACAAAAATAAATAGCAGGCAACAAAGCTAGTAATAATGCTAAAGCTTCAAAATAAATATGGTTGCTTGTGAAAAAACAGTTGAGTGATTTGGATAAAATGGCAGTGTAATTATATGGTAGTAAGTCAAAGTCTGATAGCTTGGAGCTTATCTTTGCATAGCATGCCACTTTGCCCGACAAACCCCAATAACTCATGTTTCTTTTTCAACATTTCATTTCTTGTTGTTTATTTTTAAATAATCTTATGAAACCTTAAGTTTGTTTTTCCTAGTGTTTGTGGAAGGAAGTTCAGATAGTAATGAAAAGGCACAGACCAAAACAGTTTAACCAAAATATCCCCAAAAGTGAAATTTTGGGTAGTTAAAGAGGACATTGTGAATTCTCAGCTCTACAGGATTGTCTGTTTTATTAACATTTCTTGGATTAGCTTCAGTTTTGCAGAGATAAAGAAAAGCAGTATACAAGACTCCTATGTAAAGAGTGCCTATGCCCTAACTGACCTAAAGCTAAGAACTGCCTACATGCACACGTATATGACCCTAGTTTCACTGTTGCAAAAGTTTCCATTATTTGGATGATTGAGTAGAATAAAATGGCTTAGGTTTTAATATATCAATTTTAAGTTACTAGTATACTTTTAAATAGTTTAGTAAAAATTGCTTCCTTTAATAGTCAAGGTCTCTTATCTGATACCTGCTTCCTTCCCCTCTGTGGATGCTTCCTGTTTTCCATGTCAACCCGCACATCCCCCCACGTATTTCCATGTGCCTTTTCCTGTTGTCCTATGTTCTGCTGCAGCTGTTCCTCAGATGCTTCTCCACCAAGGAAAGGCTCCAAAGCCAAGCTGGCTCCTATACAGTGCCATGAAAACACACTTTGTGGGCACCTGCCCTCACCCCTTGAGCAAGAAGGCAGCAGCACTTATATTTCCAGGCATGTACTGCGAAGTAGCCTGCGTACCACTAACAATGCACATCCCCCTTTTGAAGCCTCTCCTGTCACCTTGTCCCCCGTGCTTTTTTGTGTTGTCCAACTGAGACAAGAAAGCCAACAAGAAAGTAAGATGTTTGGTCTGTGATAGTACATTGTTAAATCATGTCTGTTGTGCTTTCATGTATGATTCAGTTACCCTCTCTTCAGAATTCAGTAGGGTTTGTCTGTAAAGCTGACAGCCAGAGAGACTGCCTGTACAAGTACTGTCAAATACTCCTTAGTTCATTAGTGTTTCCAACCCCCCTTTCTACTGCTTTACAAGAGAAATGTGACTAGTTTTATTTTAGTTACCCTATGTTCCAACAAAAGTAGAACTGAAATGGAGTATTTCAAAATATTTTTTTAAAAGGGGAAAGTGCACGAGACATGATTATGTGGCCAGTATTTTTTTACATGTTTTTTATTTCTTTTACATTTTTCTTATTACAATTCTTTTCTCTTCCTTTTTTGTTTTCTTGTTGCAGGGGATGGATGTGGGCACACAGTGATGTATCAAGACAGTGGGACACTGGCATCCAAGAACTATCCTGGTACATACCCAAACTACACACTTTGTGAAAAGAAAATCCAAGTGCCTCCAGGAAAACGCCTGATCTTGAAAATTGGAGACCTGGATATCGAATCACAGAAATGCGAGTCCAGCTACCTTACCATCCAGAGCTCTTCAACATTGCACGGTACGTAAAAGACAAGACAATGGTCAATGCATGAAATGGTGAAAGTGTGAGTAAAAGGCCATTTCAGCAAAATGCAAGAAATATCAGCCTCTGTCCTCTCCTCCTCCTTTTCATATTCAAGTGTGTCCTTCTCTCTATGGGAGGCCATTGCCCCTCACACTGTGTGTAGTTCTGCCCAGGCCAAGGGTGCTGCCGTGCTGTGCTGCAGAGGGGCTGCCAGGGACACAGGGGCATATACCTGGCTTTGCCACATCCACCCCAAGGGTTCTGCCTTCAGACCTGCAGAGCTTCACTGTCACAATTTTGGTACAGGAAGTTTGTGGATCTACAGCAGCCCTGTTCCCTTGCATAGGGAAAGAACTTGCTCGTGAACCAAAGATGAGAAATTGGAGCCAAATGATCCTACGTGTCTCTATTTCTAGGCAGTTCATGGCGCGGAGAAGAGATAACCTTTATTATTGCTACCTATTAGCCACTGATAACCTTTGCTAATGTACAGGCTTTAATACATGTAGATATTAAATGCATGAAGCCAGACTGCACTCCTGTAAGAGATTTGCACAGAAAGATAAGTAAATAATCTGCTATAGCTGTGCACTTTAAACAATCATAACAACAGGATCCTCCCCCAGGGAGAACCTGAGGCCTTCCTCAAGTTGATTTTCCCAATCAGATGTCACTGAAACTTTGATCTGCACTTTCTAAAAGGGTCAAACTGATTTTCAAGTCAACATGGCCTTTTTCAGAAGTCCAATTTAAATCCAAGGCTGCAAGGAGTTCCCCAATGTAGGAGTAAACTCAAGAATTGACAGTTCCTAAGATTTTACCTGCTAGGAATGGGCTGTAGCCAGTCAGTCAGCTGAAGCTGAATGTGCTGTAGTGGACTTAAGCAGAATGGATTCAATGGGAAAATGTGACAAAGACATGAGCTACACAGGGCCCCTGCAGGTTTTTCAGCTTATTGCTTGGCTCAGAAAAGTATGTGGTTCTCCAAGGATGAGATCTAACAGATATCTTAGTAGTAAGGAGAGTTGATTGCCTTTCATTCATCAGCATGATAGGCTTATCACTCATCTGGTAAGAGAAGATCAAGTGAAGTATTAAAGCCTTACTCTCAAAGGAAGGTAAAGGTAATTACTCTTCTCATGGGGGAGGTATTACATTTTGAAACAGCCTTCACTAAGAGTGGGCAGTGACATGCTGATATCTAAGCCTTGCATAGAGCTTGATTTGAGGCATAAGGAACATCTTTGTTCACATGTGCTGGGCTTTTTTTTTTAATGTTTTTTTTATTTCTTTCTTCACTATGAGGGTGGTGAGGCACTGGAACAGGTTGGCCAGAGAAGTTGTGGATGCCCCATCCCTGGAAGTGTTTAAACACAGGTTGGATGGGGCCCTGAACAACCAGATCTAGTGGAAGGTGTACCTGCCCATGGTGGGGGCAGCTGGAATTAGATTAGGGTCCTTTACAACCCAATTCCGTGGTTCTATGATCCACTTCATAACTGTAAGTAATGAGTTGTATTTACCTGATACAGTCTGCCTGTACTTGGCAGTAAGAACTAGGTGGTTGATATTGCATTAACATATCTGAATAATTTTTATTCATACTATCTTGGCATTTCTAATCAAGTATCTTGGAAACGGCGATGAATCAATATATTGTTTTCTGAAGTGAAAAATGAATCTTGGATGTTGATTGAAATTTTGAGTCCTTACACATCAACATGAAGACATCTTCACATAGTTTATCCTGCAGTTTTTCAGCCTGTGAGCACAGAATACCTGTGTATTATGCAATCAATTCCACATAATTAATTTTTTTAAAGTATTCCCACACCCATTTTCAGACCTGATTGGTAATGTTAGATGCATGTGGACTATAATTTGCATTCTCATAATGAACTGCACAATTAGCAGATTTTGCTTATATCTGATTAAACCAGTTTTATAGGTTAAACAGACATACCCTCTGTAATGGTTTTTTGTGGTCTGCAGCTCACTGTAGACTTTCCCACCAGCATACCTATAAAGTCTCTACATTCAATCCATGCACAACAACAGTGTGGAAATAGTTCTATAGCAATAAATTCATGATGTCCCCTGTGTTTTAAAAGACACAGTAATTCTTAGATGAGACTAGAGCTCCTCTAAGTAATTTTTTTCAATAGTTTTGCTACAGCTCTGGCTTTTAATATGCGTTTATGTCAGCAAAAGAAGCCCTGTGAGTTGACACTGCTACATCCATTCAGTCTGTTAAGCGTCATTTTAGACAGCTGTTTCTGAGTCCAGATCTCCTCTTTGCAACTGTCTCCTCCTCATGAGGTGGGTCAACATCTTCCCTTTGGCCAAGGAGACACCTATCTTTGCCATCAAAATTATTTCATAGGAAGATAGAGCATTGAAAATATTTTGCAGTCATTGGAAACATCTGAGCAATTAAAAACTAATCTTTTTATGTTTTCTGTATTTGATCTGGGTTTAAAAAAGAAAACCTAAAAAGCAAAGTAGGAAAGCTGACAGTGTGAATATTGTTCATGTTTCAAATTAGCCAAGCAGTCTTTGCTCTGTATTTAGGAGGTTTGCAATTACAAGACAATAAAGTCCAAAGGGAAATATGTTTTAAATATCATGCTGATCTCCTCAACTCTACAGAAGACAACAGTGTGAATGTCAGTATGAGTTCAAACATCTGCTGAGGGTTGAATCTGAAGCTTAGAAAATCGGTCAGAGGTAAAACACTAGATTATGCGTGTAAATATAAAATTAAGGTAAAGAAGATTCAGATAACAAAGTGTTGTTTTCCTTTCAGATTTCTTCCAGTCTTTACATTTAACTGTGATTCATTCATGATTATAACCATCTGCAGCGACTCATGCAATACAACAAAGACTAACTCAATTTGTGTTTGGGGTATTTGTATTCTGTGCAATAAGGGGAAGCTGTTAAATACAAATAAATGGATTATTTGATTTATGTTAGCTGTAACATGGATGTCTTCACTTTTGTAAATTGGTGACTACAGATTAGACCACTTACATGCAAATTTTATTTAAGTTCAGGACATTCCTTGATTTTTGTAGACTGATAGAAGAGTACAATTCATTCCATTTGTGTATGCTGATGTACTGAAGCCTCTCTGAGTCTCAACTAAGACACTAATGTGACACTACAGTTCTTCTCACCTTTGATGGACCTGTGAAGGCAACTATTGCATTTAGATTTCTCCAATATTGCAATTAAAAGATGGTAATTAAATACTCTTAATGAAGCTCTAAAACTGGAGACATAAATGTCTGAACACTGTATTTCTGGGTTATTACTCTGCAAATTATTTTCTTCAGTGTTCACCATAGAAAAGAACCTGTAGCAAGCCTTTTCTTTCAAGCTTTTAGCTTTGTATCCAGACTTAGATGTGAAAATATTAATCATCAGTCAGCAAAGGGAGCCTAACAACCATTTTAGTTGAACTGAGTCACCTTTGTCTGACAAACCTTTAAATATTAGCACAGTTTTGTCTCTAGGAGAAATAAATAGATGATCATGTTCTGTTTCAAAGGCATAGCTTTTCACTGGATTAAAATATGGGGAGTTTTGTCCCACAAAAAGAATCTAGAATAAAAATAATTATGAGCATAATCTCACAGTGTACCCAAGGTGAAGCCTTTACTGAAATGCTTTTCTTCTCGAGTTAATTGCATTATCTGAGCATATTAAAAATACTGAGCTCTGAAGTAGAGCTTCTGATTTTTTAATTAGTTAAAGGGATATGTGAAAACAAGATTAACCATGTCAGCCTTGTAGTTCTCAAGAACAAAATTTGCACTACTTAGGAAGGTGGAACATAAATGTTTGAAGAGTATGACAGGAACTGCTTTTAGTCAGCTTCTTTATATGTCTTTATCAGAATTCTGTACCTCTTTTGACCCTTTTTCCTTGCCTTTTTTTGTCTTTTTCCCCATCTAATGGCTTAGTATTTTTTCCCTTAATTTTATGAGCTGATCCTCAGCCCTGACTGGAGAGAAAGACTAAAGAAGAGATAAGTGCCTACTTACTTCTCCATTCACTTTCAGTCAGTAGGAGGTTGATGTGTTCCTCTGGGGTGGATGTCAGAGCTGCTGAGTGACTAGTAATAATTTGGAGAGTTAGTGCAGTTGACTTTTCTTGCATAATTTACAGCCGGTAACTAATGTGAAATAGTGAAATTACTGAAAATGCTTTCTCTTCCCCACACCCCGCAACTATGGGCTGTTAGACAAACTGAGCATTTACTAGTGTCTAATAGTTGCTGAGAGTGTGCACATGTGTGTGTGCAGGTGTGCAGGAGAACCAAGTGCCTTTGGATGCCTCCTACCTGTCATTATGACTTGAGGGGATTCATCAAACCAGTCTCTCCTTATTATGTATTGAAATAAATATCTTGCTTGAATAAAGGGTGTGTCCAGGTTTCTTTTTTGTCCCTCAAAGGAAACTTGTTATTATTGTATTGTTTCTGGTATTTCAGGAAACCCAGGGAAATGCCCAGACGAGTTCTTGCTGAAGATCAAGTCAAGCAGTTTCTTAACAGTCAAAACTCTTCTAACAGTTGGGTTTCGCGTGAGTGGTTGCTTGAGTATCCTGAGGTTTCAGATTTGGAAAGATTGATGCAACAAAGAATGTCTGTGTTTTGTTTTATCAAATGGACTGTTCTTTTCTCTTAGCTGCATACAGTGTATTATGTATTATTCTCTGGTTTTTGTTAAACTACAGCTCTTCGCTCATGATTCCTAGCTGTTGCTGTGATTCTGTCTTTGGATTTGGCTAAAACTACAGCAATGTTAGAAGTGAGGGATCTCACCTGAAGTCAAGCAGGCAGATGTACAGCCTGTGCAGGTGGTCCAGACCCTCCATTTTTTAATTGTGATTACTTCTCCAGTCTAACTAGGATGCCTTTTTCTTTCCTTTATTGCAGTCTTTGCAACCCTTTGGAAACACTAAATGGAAGTTATACTTGTTTTTCC